AATAAAATCAAGACAGACTTGTCACGACAAGCATAAATCATCTTTCCAATGCACCATGAACTGCTGAGACCATGAGAGCACCTCTCATCCAACTGTACTTTCTGCTATCGGCCACTACCATGCTGTTTAGCCCTACCTTAATTCTGGTTATAGTTCTGCAGCTAGCCACTTTATGCCCACAAATGGGAGCCACTTCTTGCATGAGGATACAATTAATGGTTGCCAAAAATTATCTCAACATCTCCCCATCACCACCACCCCCCCCAATTACAATGATTGAGAAAACCAAGAGCCTATGTTCCATTTTTAAGGATGCAGTTGCTATCAGTAGAAAGCCACATTTCCACCTAAATTTCCCAGTACTTTAAAAAAAAAAAAAAAAACCACAAAAAACGCACAACGGCATGCGCTTAGGATGTTGGCGTTACTCCACGTTTTGGACATCTCTTCCTTCTACTTAAAAAGACAGCCAGCACCGCTTACAGTCTCCCTAGCTTCCGGCAGCCGTAAAGAAAAGCAAGCAGAGTAACAGCTCTCAAGAGCGGAAACGAGCTTCTTACTCATTTCAGGCTGGGGCAATCGAGAACATCTGATGCTTAATGCTTTGTTAATCCCCAAAGATTCTACCACTTGCACAACGGGAAGGGGCAAAAGTAACAGTGCAGAAGACGGCAAGTCCTGAACATCCAAACTAAGAAAACGCAACGCTCCAAGAACAGTCTGCGTTAATCAAAATCGGTCTCTTTCCTAATCCAGCAGGAAAATGCCCCTCACGGCAGACTAGTTACAGCAACCAAATCGTACAGAAGTCAGAACCGATTCATCTGAAAAGCACATCAAGTATAAGCTAAAGGCTATGTACACGTCATCGGCTAGAAAAATAGTGAAGACGACAAACGTCAACCATGATCCAAACGATGCATCGACAGACAGGTTACCTGCTGTAATCAATCTCCTGCTAAAGACAGAACTGAAAGCCAGACGAAGAGCAACAGCCAGCCGAGTAATTTTGAGTAACGCAGCCTTACACATGACACGACATTTGAAGCTGTGAATGAGTTCAGACTCAAAGTTTGGTAAACAGCTTGCTCTGGTAAAATACTTGCGTCATGGAAAGGTCGTAAGACAGAGACAACTAAAGTTCAGGCGGAGAAGAGCAACAAACTTCTTTGGATACTCAGTAGATGATGACTGGATTACAAAGCTCTGCACTTCTGCGCAAGTTACAGTATGCGACTGCGTGAGCACCCGTAACTGACTGACCCGCGTGAACTACAGGAGGAGCGGCACACAAGAACCAACGGCTACACAAGCTGAGTAAAGAGGTAGAAGAACAGTTGTTCTTCAAACATTGTTTGAAGTAGCCATCGATAACACTTACCCAAGTTTCTGTTAGGGTAGCATACCGCTCATTTTTAAGGCATCATACTCGTTTAGAAATTCTTGTTTACATCTGAGCATCCTGAATAAGTATTATATTAAAAACAAATACTCATAATCATCAGTTCAGTGGGTATTACTATTAGGAACATCGTAACCTTTACTGAGAGGTAGCGCAGATATGGATCATCTCTGGAAGTCTGCAGAGGCTTCAAAGACACAAATAGAATTTGCCTGCTCAGGCAGTACCACCGAGTAAGGAGTCTCTGACTTTGGTTTACTACCTTGTATCATAGATGACATAATACAGTACAAATTTTTTTGTCTAAATTATGGTCAATGCTAGTTTTGGAGCCCTACCTGAACTGGGAGGCACTTGGGGCATTCTTCTTACCTGCAAATGGCAATTCTGCTGACCGCAACTCCAGGGAAAACTTGCACATGGTTTCTCCATTGTAAAAAGCAAATTCCTAACACTGAAGAGAAAGCGGTAGATCATATACCAAATTTAATTACTTTTGCAGTTTATGAAATAAGTGTTTCCTTACCTTTACAGTGAAGTCAGAAATGACTACTGCGAACAATCGCCTATGCTGATCTTCTCCTTATGTGCTGGGCAGGTTAACCATGGAGGTACTTACTGGGAAACACGCAATTCAGAATTCTTGCCGAGAAGGAAACTTGAATAGTAACTCTTCTTGCTCCTTGATGCTGCATCTATCACTCTCATTTTCAAAGCAAAACCTAGTCTGACACTTGCAGCGATGAGCAGGGATGGACGAGCGGGTTCTGCCAACCTTCTTGTCCTTCAGGAACAAAGAAACGCCTCTAGACTCGGTGCAGGCTTAAGGCATTCTCCATTTCTAAGTGACACAGGGTTTTGATGAACACAGTGGTTGCATCTGAATTAAAGGTTGAGTATGAGGCTTTGAACGGTCTGTAGACTAGTAAACTGCTTTTGCTGGATTTCCTCGGCAATATTGCTCCAGGAGGAAAAGCAGAACCATAAACATAAACACCCTGTTATGTCGGGGGAGATGGGAGGCGGAAGAGCACGGGTTGAGTAACCACATATTGTGAAATACAAAGTCATGAATCACCAGAATCAACCGAATGTTGGCACGAACAGATGACAGGGAAAAATTAAAGCAGCTGGAACTAACACTTCGAGACAAAGCTTTTTTTAAATGTAGGTGGTCTCCACTGATCTGTGCAGGGTGACTTGGTCTTTTTGAAAATTATCAGCCAGCCCCATTCATTTCTATAGGGTTTTAAAACTTTATTCCCATCTTCATTTAACCGATTTCTTTGAAGTGAATTCAGAACCATGCGAGTTAACTACTTGCATACTTACTATTCACAAATTTACGTTATTGCCTGAAGTTCAGCATCTTCAGCAGTGCGCTCACACCTCCACGGGCAGCAGCTGCCCCAGTCAGCTTTGTTTAATAGGATGCCTCCTTGCCCTCTCCCACCCCTCATCCACCCTATGCTCCAACAAAGGTGTTCTGCCGAAAGATCATTCTTTTTGTGCAGGTGCCACAGGGTATACATTGCATGCAGGTACAACGACAGCTATGTGGTTGGCCAATTTTATCTTCTGCGCTGGAAGTGCAGTAGAGGGAAGAAGTCCACGCTCCTCACACATAAGTAAATCCAATTTGTGCGCACAAACACTTCTGTCTTGTCTGAACAAGAAAACGGATCATCTACCTTGGTTTTCACACCACCATCTCAATCAACATTAATCCTACTAGGAAAAGCCAACTAGCTTGACTTGGGGAAGAGTTTTCTGGCTTAACCAATCACAAATTACTTATTTCCCATTATGAGATCACTAGATCCCATCCTTACCCCTGTGAGGAACCAAGCTGGGGACAGAACTTGAATTAACTCATATTTTCCTTGATGTATTTTAATATGTTTTCTTACTGAGTAGCATCTGCTGCTCCCAGATTCTCACCTACACTGCTAATGGAAAATCAGACCTACAGTCTTCCTGCATTTTACTCCTTTGGTCTCTGCAAACTTTTAATTACAAGTTTCAGGAACCACATTTGTGACAGGAGTACACAAGTAACTATTTGCTAGCAAAGACGTGTATTTTTTTCTTCAAGCTCCAAAGTGTGATTTTATTTTGTAAAATCAGACCTTGACAATAGACTTGCGTGCGAAGCAGTATTACGGTATTTCTTGGGAGCATCTCTCCAGATGAGGACAGGCAAGACACAAAACACTCCAGGACAAAAGGACATGACTTAACTTGGCTCCCCAAAGCAGGGACTCTATTGAACAAGCTATACTGCCACGCTGTTAGAACAGTATTTTTCTTTTAGCATATTCATGAAATTAAAGTTGTGAAAGCTTTTCAAAAATGTACGCCGCAGTCTTCTGTCCCACCAGCATTTGGATTAAAAAACACCACCAAAACAAGCACACCTTTTCCTGTCACTAACTCATGTTGAAAGATTAACTAACCAGGTGAGGTTTATGACCATGATTTGTAAGCTTCTGCTGCTCTTTGCCTTTTGTACTGTTTTAAATAATGCTTTCTCCACTATGGCTGCTTTCAAAGGCTTTCGATTTAAAGCATTCAAGGAAAATCACACTGCTTCTAAGCCATATTTTAGTCTTTCCCAACCAGTTAAGATTCCTGTCCAGTCGCATTTGCAGGCACAGAACAACACTGCCAACAATCTGCTCAAATACCCATATAAAGAACTAAAACACCCTGTTCTCCTTCCTAAGCTCTGTTTTTAAATTTTGCCTACCATACCACACATCTCCAAGCTATCATGCATGGCTTAGCAGAGATGTCGGTACACCACACACGGGTTTGTAAAACAGTCCCGGTCTGGGATTCGTTGAAATTAAATCATCAGCAAGTCAACTCCTATCTATAGTCGGTAACATTTGTTTGATGAGTGTTTCATTTTAACTAATTTAGATAGAAAAATCCCCCGAAGAAGCCTACTGTGAAATGTTAGTCACAAAAATCAGGTGGAGAGGGAGGATGCAGTGCCTTGCAGGTCGTCTTTAAATCGAAACCAATTCAATGTTGGTATGCACAATTTAAGGCAATATAAGCAGTTAAGAGCTAA